CCCAGTACCAATAGAGAGATTGGTCGGAAATTTTCTGTTCTGTTGGGTGGCTTTCCTGCTTTCGGTTTCAATGTGATAAGGGCGGTTTTAAACCCCTGGGAAATACCCAGAAGCCAAAGACACATTGAAAGTATTGATTAGGCGCTGGATCATTATTGGTGGGATGTTTGTAATTTTGGGTTTCCTGATCTGACTGATCCCAGGTGCTTTGTTCTTTGTGTATTTGATAACCTTTGTAATTTCTTCCAATGTGATTGGTGCTATTAATGGATTTTCTATTGAAAGGTTTATTTGATCAGCCTGCTGAGCTAAGTCCTCTGTGACCTGTTCTTCAGTCTCTTGGTCAAAGAGTAAGTTTTCAGTATTGTAGATATGGTACACTTTTCTCCGGTAAGTGCGGTGGATTTCTTCTTTTTATGCATCTGTATATTTCGGCTTCAATTTTTTGAATTAAAATGTGAAGGACCTAATTGCGATCTTTTTCTTTTTCATTATTTATACATTTTACGTGACAAATCATGTACGAAATACTTGTATTCGATATAATTATCTGCTATTTACCAATTATTGTTGCTCTAATGGGGTTTTACAATGTAAAATATTGGTCGAAAAAAAAAAACTTTCTCCAGTCGGCCAGGTATCGTATGCGTCCTTTTCTCAGCACGGCCGGGCGTCATATTATCATGACGTTCGTCTCTTTACATCTGCGGAATATTGGTGATTAACTATACGGGCCATGTAGCCAATTTTCACACTCAGACTCCCGTGAAAAGACAAACTAAACTAGTCCAGGGTAGTGAAAAAAAAAGAAAAAAAAAAGAAAAAAAATATATATAAGGTATGTAAGCACATCTAGATAATTTTTGTGGACCCCATGACCTTTTGTTTATTTATATTGTTACTTCTGTTTGTTTCTTTGTTTGTTTGTTGATAGTTTATTTGTTGAATTTTTGTTTGTTTGTTTGCGTTTTCTGATATTTCAATAAGTTACGAACACACTTTAATGAGCTTTTAACCAAAGGTGTGTTTTAACCTAACTTTGATGCTTATTGCACTTTGGTGGTGATATGGACCATGGTTTGGATCCAGGATTTTTTTTTCGAACTTGAAAAGTTATGAACAGAGTTTAATAAAATTTTAGCCTAATTAATATTCCATAAAATTTTGGTGGTGATCCGGATTATATTTCAATCCTACCCCCCATTTGGGGGTAGGATTATCTATTACCTGGGTCCTCTGGTTGTGTCGACATCAATGGCCAGAAATTTTAGGTAAAAATCGTCTATAATGCGATTGTAGAGTTACGTATATTTAGTTACACGAACGCACCCGGATTCATGGATTCGCTTCTGCGAACGGGTGGTCGTGTTGCCTACTGGGGGTGGTCACTTTTTATTTTAATGCCTTTTTCTGATGCCCTTTTGGCAAGCCCTTGCCCTTTTTATAAACGCCACACCTCCAGAAGTATACATAGTAAGTTTTGGGTTCGATAGGAGCTCGTTTAACCCACACTCAAACCTCTTACAATTTGGATACTTGGCTACCCCTGCCGTGACGCGCCATGGAGTCGCCACAGAAGGCAGTTGGCGGGTGACCTTGACTGTGGAGAGGTGTGAGTGTAGGCTGGGGAGGACTCTTGATCTTTGATTTGTGCCCCACTGTGATATTTTGTGATATGCTGCGGTGCTACCTTGTTGCCAGTGACTGTCGTTGCCTCTCCGTGATTTCGAGGCTGTAGTAGTAGTAGCTTTTCGTAAATAAAGCCGTGTTGTGCACATGAACAGTGTTTGTGTCCACTCCTGTAGTAGGTAGTAATGGCCGGCTTTTCCCCATGCCCACATCTTCTCTACGGTCCGAGGATCACTCGTCAGCTCAGCTGTGTAGTAGGGTGAGTGTGCCTAGCGAGGGATAGGGTGCCTAGCGAGGGATAGGGTTTTTGTTTACATCCCTGCCCGCGCCTTTTTTATTGTATTAATTCTTTTACTTAAATTTCAAGGGGTTTTAGTATTAATTGTTTTACTTTAAATGTCATGGGGGTTTTAGGGTAGAGGTTGAAGACCGCGACGCGCGTAGATAGAGGAAAATGGACACCGCCATCTTATAGAGCGGGAAAAATAGAAGGGGATAGCGTATAGTTTAAGATGCACCGGCCTTATAGTCACCGCTAAATGAGGAAAATATAACGCGCGCGCCGCCTTTCAAATTCAAAGTCGATGAGCCTTGCTAGGAAAAACACGACACTGACCCACGAACGCATTTTTGCGTTCGCGAACTAGTCCGTGTATCATTACGCGCTTGTCAAAACGATATTTGGCTAATTATCTGTGTCTGCTGGTACGCATTTATACCTTTAAAGTCTTTTAGTAATGTTATTATACTTCAATTGCATATTTTTATATTTATCTATACCCTCATATCGAATCCTGCGCATCGAGTGTTTCACACTTTCTTGCGCCAGCCACAGGTTGACAGCTCACCAACCCGCTCATTTCGAGATTGAAAGCCGGTGAGAAATGTTGCGTTTCCAGTGTTGTGTTGATTCTGGGTTCTTTTTTAAGACCTTTACAGTGGCATCGAAGAATAATTCGACTTCAGTAACCATCCCAGTTTTATATCTGAGCCCATCAAGAGCTCCAAAGGACGAAAAAGGTGATTAAAATCGAAGCAATCCCAACAGTACAAAAGAAACGAAAGTTTCACGTTTCCGGATATAAAGGTATTTGGTTTATTATTTTACGGTGTGAATGCAGCTCTGTCTTGCCGTACATACCGTGGTGGAGAGAATGTGTCCTGGGGGGTGTTGGGGGGCTTGCCCCCCATCAACCCTCCCCTCGGGCAGTGCCCGAAGGGCACGCCTAGTCACGGCAATTTATATTGATATATTAGGTTGGTTGGTTTATTGGTCAATACGTTTTTGGGGGTTGGAACGTGTGAATTCCCGTAGATTTTTTTGCCGAAATGTGGGTTGGGTTCCCGTAGAGTTTTTTATTTATTTCGCGTCAGTCCGTAAACTTTCAAAGATGGCGGTTACATCCGTAGAGTTTCATTGGCCGATTTTAAGCGCTTTTTGTGCTAGTTTTAGCATTTTTGATCGTTATTCTTCTTATTTAAGCTTGTTTTACCCCATAATTTCCCTGATATACTTCATGCCCTCCCCTGCTAACGGGACTATCAAATCAAGATCGTCGATGGAGAAATGGTACTCGATCTCCTGAACGATTCATTCGCAAAAGAAACAACGCCGAAAATCGATGAAATCATAGGATTTCATGCAGAAAAACATCATTTTTTTTCGACTTAGTCTCTGCGAGGGTGCGTCGCGGTCTTCAACAATTACCGTTATTTTACTTGTGTACACTTTTGTGAACTTTGTTGTTATCGTTTTTTTTTTTTTTTTTCTGTGGTGCCTGTGCTTGTGAACTGTGCTTTCTGAAAAACGCTTTGTCTGTAGGGGTGTTGATATACCTCCAGTGTGTCGCGCCCAAAGTGCAGTGATATTTTCCAGTGCGACGTGGAGGGCTGTGGCCAGCCCAGTATAGGTTGCGGTTGCGAACTTCACGGCCCCACAGTTTGCAGTTGCTGCCTGCCATGCCCCACAATAAGACCTCGCAGCCAGGGTCTCGCCCACCGACCCCTGAGGACGCAGGACTTGAGGCCACACCACCCATGGCTTCGGGAGGTGTGCTGCCTGATGCCCGGGCTGTTACGGCTAGTGGCTTAGAGCTGCCGCAAGCTCAACTGGCTGAGCTAGAAGCCCGACTTATGGAACATCTGGGTGCGCAGATAGGGGACCAGCTGACCCGCATGCAGGCACAGATGCAGTCGCAGTTGCAGTCACAGATGCAGGCGTTGGCGACTCTCTACAAGGGCCAGTAGCCCACACCGTCCACTGCTGCTGAGGGGATGGTGACAGCCGCTGCTGCTATACTACCACCCTTGTCAACCCTTCAGTCTCGTAGCGAGGAGGTCGCTGAGCGGCCGCCTCGTCTGCCTCCACCTGTGACTGTAAGTACACAGCGTCCTGCACCTGTAGCCTCGTACTTGGCTCCTGTGTTGGGTGGCCAGCCAGATGCTGATGCAGGAGACAGGAGAGACACCCTAGGGCACCAATGAGTTACAGCTGTTACCTCTAGAGAGCCAGCTTCCTCGTCTGCGGCTGGATTGCAGGCACCACCACCCATGTTGTCGGGGTCCGTACCAGAGCCTGCGGCCCATCTGCAGCCCTCAACGCTGCCTCAGTCGACCCAGTATGCGCCACACCTGCAGCATCCGACACCGGTCTCACAGCCCCCTGCCCATCTACACATGGCACCTCCAGCAGCTGCTGATTGTATGCCATCTACTTCCAGTCAGAGCCAGCTCAACCGTGTAGTCATTCCTGTCCTCGCTCTACACTGGCCAGTGGACGTGATGAGGTGCCATCTTTTGTGGTGAGACGCCTGCCTCCCTGGGTATTCAGCTAAGTCAGGAGCTGGAGTCCTGGATATCCAGCATCGAGCTTTCGACCCGGCCTTCCACCTCTGAGGCTTACATCCGCATGGCATGTAGCAGGGTAAGTGGATATGCCTGGTCGGTGCTGAACAGTCCTGTGTTCGCCAGCATCCAGGACTGGGTGAGTTTCAAGGCTCAACTCTGGGACCAGTTCCGTGGTGTGGCCACGGCTCAGTATTTTTACGATATGCTTGGCCAGGCAAGGATGGCTGTAGGTCAGGGGCTGCTGGACTTCTTTCGCTCAGTGGAACTGGCAGTGCAGCAAGGTGTGCGCGACTATCCACAAGACATCGGGAATGCTGAGGGCCTGATGCAGCGCACCTTCCGGGAAGGACTACCAGGTTGGCTTCGTGGACAGCTACTCTGGCACGACTTCCCTCTGCTCGTAAGATGGCTGAGAAGTGCCAGGCCATCTGGGATTCTGTGGTTGGGGCGAGACACACCCTGCCTGATGTTCATGGGCTCCTGAGGATGGGGCAGTGATCGAGTTTATGGCCACCTTTTAGGGT